TGGAGCCTGTTTCCGATTCTGTGTCTCCCTCTCTCTCTGCCCCTCCCTCGTTCATGCTCTGTCTCTCTCTGTCCCAAAAATAAATAAACGTTGAAAAAAAAAATAAAAAAAAAAAAAAGAAAGAAAGAAAGAAGGGGCGCCTGGGTGGCGCAGTCGGTTAAGCGTCCGACTTCAGCCAGGTCACGATCTCGCGATCCGTGAGTTCGAGCCCCACGTCGGGCTCTGGGCTGATGGCTCAGAGCCTGGAGCCTGTTTCCGATTCTGTGTCTCCCTCTCTCTCTGCCCCTCGCCCGTTCATGCTCTGTCTCTCTCTGTCCCAAAAATAAATAAACGTTGAAAAAAAAAATTTTTTTTTAAATAAAAAATCAAAATCAAATCAAATCAAATAAAAAAAAAGCCCAAAAAAACAAAAACAAAAAAACTTCCAGTCCAGCCTCACGTATGGCACCACCTCTCCAGGGCTCATGGCAGCCCACCAGGGAGTCCCTGGGTCTAGGTAACCTATGGGCAGGTGGGAAGCAAGTGCTACTGGCCCAGTCTTCAGTCAGGGATGTCTCATTTCCAGTGACACCCTGGGGGTGTCCAGTCACTGACAGGTTGGTAGAAAAGCCGCATCCATGTAATATAGTATGCCTTCCCAGGAATCTTGGGAAAAAGCAGGGGTGACTGAGACACATTCAAAGTTTTCTGTAATGATCTCTCGAGGTCTCCTAACATATCCACACACACACCCATCTGGTTTTTCAGCTCTGCATAACCTTTTCCAGAAGTCAGCTTCTGGCCCTGGCCTCATGATGCCTAGCTGGGTTTAAGAGTCTTATCTGTGTGGCCACCTGGGTGGCTTAGTTAAGCGTCCCGCTTAGGCTCATGATCTCATGGTTCACGAGTTCGAGCCTCACATCAGGCTCTGTGCTGACAGGTCAGAGCTTGGAGCCTGCTTTGGATTCTGTGTCTCCCTCTCTCTCTGCCCCTTCCCCACTCGCACTCTGTCTTTCTCTCTCAAAAATGAATAAACATTAAAGTTAAAAAAAAAAAAAACTTATCTGATGATGGAGCAAATCCACTTGCTCCTTTGACCTCTGGCTTTAAGATGGCCTCTCCCTTCTCCATCCCACAATTTAACCCTCTCTGGGCACAGAAGCATTTGGGGAACTAGTTCCTGTGTTGCTGTTATCTCATCTCAGAAATGAACTTCTGCAAAGGAGCTGGAAAGGCAGGAGAAGAGGAGGGATTATCATGCAGGTGCAGGGAGGGGACCTAAAGAAGAGCTCCATAGTTTATCCCCCCCCCCAAAAAAAATGCAACCCGAATCATCAACAAAGTATCGACTCAAAAACATGCAGAAGAAAAAGAAAGGAATCAGTGTTGGGATGGTAGGAGCGGAAGGAGCCAAGCTGCCCAGAATGTCTCCTGTGAAGGCTGCGAAGAGCAGATAAGCAGGGCCCCAGAGGCAGGCGGCACAGGAAGAAGGGCAGCGTGAGGGGAGCTACAGATCTACCCACAGAAACCCAAGAGGAGGGCTTGCTAGCCAGAGACAGAGGGAGCTTGCTTGTCAAAGTCCGTGGAATGGCAGAGCCAGAGGCCCTGTTACCACCGTACTTCAGTGATGCTTGGTTTGGCTTCCTCACACAGCCTGTAAATCTGCCCATAACAAGGGAAAAATTAGAGAAATGAATCTGGGCAAATAGAAAATTAAGGAGAACTGGAGACAGCCAGCTCCTGTAGAGAGCAGCCCTGGGGAGATGCAGGGGGGTGCTGATCCTGAAATGAGTCCGAATGATCAGGAAAACCTAAGCAATGGTTGGAGGGTCTGGAAGGAACGGACAACTGGAAAGTCTCCCCACAAGTTACGAGGACTGGCACAGATGAACTTTGGAGATCTTGTTTCAGGGACCCAGAATGATAAGGCAGTTTCACCAGCAGCTCAGTGCAGGGATTCTCAAACCATGATCCCCTGATGGGGAAGGAGGGTGGGGAGTAACACCACAACTAGGAATTTGTTAGCTACGCAGATTCCAGGGCCTTATTCCCAACATACTGAATCAGAAACTGGGGAGTGGGGCCCAGCCAATCCGATCCGAAGGAAGCTCATGTTTGAGAAACACCGGCTTAGTGTAAGGGGCTGCCGATTGGTATAAAATGTCACCTGAGGTCTATTTTGTCTCCGGGAGAGGTAGCTCTCGTACCTCTTAAGGAAAATGAAGGTTTATGGGCTAGTTAGTGGTTCTTAACTACAAGGTTGCAGCAGCTGGCTTCAGTTGACTCCAAAATGGCCCTTTAAATAAATACAAAGCAAAGGACAAAGATTAAATTATATTAGCAGCCTAGGAGCAGAAGGGCCAGACTGCTTTAAAAAAACCAGCTAGAGATTTTATTAATATTTAAATTGCAGTGAAACCACAGCTGCAGCCTTTGACTCCAGTGTGGAGATATGCAAATGGGGCTTTCTAAAGAAAGGCAATTTCAGACAGCCCTCAAGGTAACAAGAACAAATAAAACAAATGATTTTGTAATTTATCTTTATTGACTGATGGAGAGCAAGGTGAACAGACAACCCTTACCTAGTGAGAGCCAGCCACCAGTGTGCTCTCGCTCTCGGAGGGGAGAAGAGACAGCTGGCCTGGAGGGAGAAAGCAGGCAAGACCCGTCAAGGGGGATAGGAAAGACCCAAAGAGGACAAAGCAGAAGGAGGCAGATGGGAGAAGATGATTAAATTGAAAGGGAAGAAAAATGGAAACCCAGCCCTGGCTTCTGGGGACCATCTGATCTTGCCAGGTCTCGGGGGCAACGGCAATAATAATCATTAATGACTATCATTTGCCACATTCCTACGAAGTGCCATGCGCTATTTCCAACATACGAATGAGGAAAATGACACTTTGAGAGGTCAAGCAACTTGCCCCAGGGTCACACAACAAAAGGAGGTGGCAAAGCCTTGATGCAGACATAGATTTGTGTGAGGCTAAACTGTGCAGGGAACCAGCCTTAGGAGTTGGTGAGTGACAATAAGGTTAATGATTGAGGGGAGACTATGAACCCAGTTCTGTGATAGCTTCTATATGTGTGGTTGTGGAAGGGAGGGGAGAAGAGATCCATTTCTGGCCTTCATATTGCTTACTATTCAATGGGTAAGGCAAGAAAGCCACAGAAAACCCTTGCAGAATTGGCCTTCTGGTTCAGAAGCCCCCTGGGGGCTGTGTGGCAGGACCTCCGCTTGAAGCATCTCAAGCTGACCCCTGGAGCTTGGGTAGGATTTGACCTGGTGAAAAAGAAGCCAGGAGATTGCAGAAGGCCTGGATAAGAACCCCCCCAGCCGGCAGAACTAAGACTAGGGGAAAGGAGCACACGATCCACAAAGAGGAGTTGGGAAAGTCTTCTGAGGATACATTTCCCTGACCCATGTGGTCTTCCTACACCATCCACCCCAAGCTGAAACCCAACCTCTCCAGAACCTCACCTGCTGCTCCCTCTCAGGCACCCTGGCCACCAAACATGGGGACCCACAGGTTCCACCCACATTGTAACTTGACCTCGGTGAGTTCTGTTCTTCCATCTCCACAGGCCCAATCCTGTCCATCCCAGCTTTTCCACAGAACCTTCACCAGCCTTCCAGCCCAGAATCTCTCCTCCTACAGAATACCTCAGAAGTTTGTTTTATTTATGACACTTTCTTCCATCAGTAAGTTATTTGTGTGTATATTCTATTTTGTCCATTTGACTAGAAGGTCCTTAGAAGACTAGTATCACTTTATCTTTATTTGGAACCCAGCCCCCAGTATGTGGCAGATACTTGTTAGGCACCCAAAAAGTATATGCTGAATGAACGAATTAGCGGATGAATGAAGGGATCCATCGAGTGAAGGTCTTATCCAACTGCTGGTCCCCCACTCCCCCCCCCCCACTTGAGTCCCTGGAAAACTAGTCACATTCTGCCACTGGGAGTGCGAATTCCTTCAGTCCTTCCCACCCACTTTGCCAGCACCCCAATTTACTCCAAAAGCTGTAAGAGATCTAAGTGTCCGAGAATTACTTCCTCGTCTCAGCCCACACCTATGGATTCCCTCCTTGATTCTCTTTTGCCTGCCATGAAGCCTACTCCTTTGTGATTAATCAAGCCAACACCCACACAGACGGAGGACATCAGTTTCCCCTCTCCATGTGTCCTCCAGCAAAGCCTCCTCCAGGCTGGATGCTCCAGACACAAACTGCTGCCGCCATCCCCGGAGAAGTAATTATGATGTTCATGATAATCTCTTTGCAACTTCAAAGCACTGGCACAACTAGTATTTCTTCCTCCTCACTAGTTCCCTGGGAGATGGCTAGGACAAAAATTGTTATTCCCACTTTATAGGTGATAAAACTGAGGTCCTTGTCAAAGGTCACCCAGTGAGTTGGTGGCAGAGCTGAAACTTACTAGCCTGGGACTCCCTATTCATTAGAACACAGACGAAAATGCCCTCATTATGTTGTCTGGGCTGTGTTTGTCTGGGAGAAAGGAAGTGTGGACTTCTGTTGAGTGGGGACAAGGGCCAGAGAAGATGAAAGAAAGTTTGTGACCCTGTAAAGGTTTTTTTTCTCTGCAATGCTGCAGCAGTTGGCACTGGTTGATTCCAGAAGAGTTTTGTTTTGTTTTTTTAAAAACATTACCACATGTCCTAGATTAGGGAAGCAGCGGGTGGGGGGTAGGGGGAGAGTGAAGCTGAAGGTAACACAGACACACAGGTAGGCAGATGTTTGCCATCTTCTCTTGAAAACGACATAAAGCTAAAATATAGTGCATATTAGCAAGGGAAACTCAAACTACAACTTATGGGAATCTTCCCAGCTGTTAGGCTATAGGTCTGTGCGATAAACCAAATGCCAGATAAGTAGAAAATCTTTCCTTGGTGAAGCCTGTCCCTGGAGCCTGTGGAGGGGCGGCCTCTCTTAGTGGCAGAGAGTCCCTGGGGGCTGTCTCAGGGCCCCTGTGTAGCTGCCGAGGTAAGAAACCTGCTGTGGGATCATTCCCAAGCCCACGGGGGCTATGAAAGCCATGGAAACCAGGATCTGTGCTGGACCTCCTCCGGTTCCTAACCAGATGCTGGAGGAATTAAGAAGAAGAAAAAAAAATTTTCAAGAGACCATTTCCTAAAGATAAGGCTGCAGGGCTGTGGTGGGGAAAGCGGTGATGATCTTACCTATCACCACCAAAATCTCGATCTTCTCTGCTGGCTCCATCCTAAAGCCCAGGGCTTGTCCCCTTCACTCCCAGGCCGGCTCTGGGCTTTTCCCAGCCTTTAGCCCAGCACCAGCCTCTATTCCTCCTAGACTCTGCTGACTTCTCAACAGCTTTCCTGTGTCGCTGGAGGCTAGGGGCGCAGCGCCAGGCAGAGGGGCGTGACCCCCAAGCCCTGAGAGGCAGTGGCTGTGCACCCTTGTGAGTGCACTAAATACCATGGAACTGTACACCTTCAAATGGTTCATTGTATGTCCTATGAATCTCACCCCAGTTAACACAAACTGAGCCGTGCTAGATGCTCTTTGGGGTGGGGAGAGAAGCCTGGCCGCTGTGAGGGTTGAAGCTCCTTGCAGGGAGTGGCGGTGAGCACAATGGGAAGGCCAGTCTGGGCCTCCCCCTCCTTCTCCAGGACCAGATGGAAACTGGGGCTGGGGAGAAAGGTCCAACTGGGGCAGCGCAGGGGTCTGGGCAGAAGAGAGGCGCTCAGTGAAAGCCAGGAGGCTGCAGCCGCCGCTCATTTGCATCATAAGTGATTGCTTTTCCCTGCTCGTCCCTCATTAGAACACAATGGACAGTTGTTTGCTGGTGCAGCAGATCCATTTACCCAGGGAGAGAGGAGACAGAGCAGGAGTGACTGATGGGCCATAGAGAGGGGGTAGGTGTGGAGGTAGCCGCCTCCCCTCCCCTGCTCCCTCAGGCCTCTGGGAATCTCATGTTCTTACACATTGAGCAGGGACCTTAGAAAACAAGGCAACTCCCTCATCTTACAGATGAGGAAACTGAAGCAGTAAGAGGGGATGAGACTTCTGAGGTCGAGTTCCAGGCAGAACTGGGGGGTTTGAAATGTACGATCTAAATTCCAGCCTCTCATTTCAGGGTTCACTCCACCTGTCTGCAATACCTTCTCCATTCCTGGCCTGTGGTTCTGTGTTGCTGCAGTCTCTTTCCTCCTGTTCCAGGCCTTGGTTTCCCTCAGTTTCTCTCCTGTGTCTATTTCATCTCGTTCCTTCCCCCTATCTTTTCCTTCCGATTTCCAGGCAGCCAGGATAATGACGAAACTTCTAATTAACCCCTGCCCTAACAAGGGTGGGTCTGGCAGTAGAGGCAGCAATTTTGAAACTGCCTTGGTGTGTCTGTGTTTGGGAGATAGGTGGGGGGAGAACTGATATGTGTTGGGCCTTTTTTTTGTTTGTTTTTTTTAAGAGAGAGCACGAGTGGGGGAGAGGGGCAGAGGCAGTGAGAGAGAGAATCTCAAGCAGGCTCTACACTCAGCACGGAGCCTGACACGGGACCCAATCCCACAACCTGGGATCATGACCTGAGCTGAAATCAAGAATCAGACATTCAACCTACTGAGCCACCCGGGTGCCCTGTGTTGGGCCTATTGTAAGCCAGGCACTATGACAGACACTTGACATAGTTTATCTTATTTCATCTGTTCAATCTTGCAAGGTAGATATTCTTAGAGACAGAGTAAGAGAGGCTCAGAGAGGTTGGGAACACCCAGCTGGCAGATGGTAGCTGTCTAACTCCCATATCCCGGTTCTTCCACCCCACACTGTGGCATAGGGGCTAAAGTGGGGTACAGGGCCCACTGATTCTGGGCTCATGGGAGGCACAACCTCTCTGAAAGAGGCCACTGCTTTTTTGCTCCCCCTAGGCTGCACCTGCCTTTCCCCACACCCATCTCTACCTTCTGGCTCCCACCTTCCTCTGCGCCCCTTCTGCATGGTGGTGAAGTCTCACAAATGCAAGCTTAGGCCCTTGGGGGTCTGGGGAGGCAGCAGATCAAGAGGGAGAAAACCCACAAACCTAGCCAGACCCTGGAGGTCTCCCTCCTGCTGACACCCCCTCCCAGTTCCCTGTTTGTCCCTCCCCTTTGTGGGTCAAACTTGCCAGCATCTGCGTCTGTCTCATTGTGCTCTGGGGGAAGGGGAGAGTCGGGGGGTGAGTGGGTGTCTGTGTGCATGAACATAAGGCCTCCGGGTTCATTCTGACACTGAATGAAAAACTCACCAATTATTCGTCCAATCTCATTAATATGCAGACAGACATCTGTTATTTAGGAGTCAACAGCAGAAGCATTTTCTTGGGGGGAGGAGCACTTATGTACGTGCCCCTTGTTTCTTCGGCTGCTGGGGTGGGTAGCTGCTTGGGAATCACCACAACCGCCTGGACCTGGAGCCTCTCCTCCCTCTGACCCTCACCCCCACCCACGAGGAGAGGGAGTGGGGGATTTACTAGAGATGGAGGCAGACCTGGGAACTCAGCTGGAGGGGGGGAAGCGGGGAGAAGGGCTGCACTGTGTAGAAGGAACTCTTTTGTTGGCAGAGGGGGAAGTGGGGAATAGTGCAGAAGAGCTGAACCCCTTTCTTGGGGAGCCAAGTGTGGAGTAGGTGGAGACAGCTGTACCAGGATTGCCAGCCAGGGTCCTGGTGTCCCCTGGGAACCTCAGGGACATGACCCTTTTCCCCCAACCTCCCTCAGCCTGCAATGTACACTCAGTCTGAGTGTATCTGGGGTGAGGTCACCATGGCAACGTGGGGTTCTCACCCAGAGACTTCAGTTTATGGGGGAGTTCAGAAAAATGGGGGCCAAAGGACTTCAGCCTTTGGAGTCGTTAAAGCTCTCTCTTGCCCTCAGGGTAGATGTGGGAGCATCTACCGAGACCTCCCCCTTCCTGTCTTTTGGCCTTCCTCCAGCCTTTGAATCCAGAGCATAAGAAACCCCCTTCAAGAGGCCTTTCCTGATTCCCTTGGGCCCGGATCAGAAGCAGTCAGGCCTGGATGTCTAAGCTGTAAGGAATAAAGGTTCACTTATAAAGGGTCGAACAGCTTTTCTGCATCCGTTCTCCTCTCTGAATCTTCCTCAACACGAGACAGATGCGGTGATCGGCTCTTTTCCAGGTGTGCAAACTGAGGTCAGACAGGTGCAGAACCTCACCAAAGGCTCCCCAGGGAAGAGGTGGCAGAGCTGAGACCCAGGCCCTCTGCCTCCAAATCTCAAGCTCTTTCCGGGACTGTCCCTTCTGGGAAGGCTGGAGTCCCAGAGGGAAGACCCTCAGTCAGCTGAAGCATTTCAGGGGTTAGACCCAGTCCCTGCCCCTACCCCCCACCCCTTCCTTCTCCCTCCTCCCTCCTCCCTCCAGAGCAGGCTGATTTCGAGGTTAAGAAACACTGGCAGCATCTCAGCGTGATTAGTTGTTTATTTCATTAAATGATTAACGAGGCTACATTGTTTCCCAAACGGGTGTCTAATTTGTGGGGGAAACAGCTGCAGAGGAGGAAGCTGGGTCTGACTCCTGCATCTGGGGTGGGGGTGGGGGTAAAGTTCCCTCCCTCCAGCTTTCAGGGGCCTTTGAGGATCTAGAAACAGCCCCATTCCCTTCTCCCACCCATTGGGCTCCTCAGCCCAGTGGTACAGCCTCCTCCCAGGAAATAAAACGTCTGGCAACTCAGACCTGCAGAGGAGACCACAATCTGTTCCCGGCGGTATTGGAAGTGTATTAAACTTTGGGGGTTCCCCCCAATGATTTATTTTCCTAATTATGTTTGCTTTAGGCGGATATTGAAATGCATTTGCATTCCCTGAGCATGGCAGGAGAGGGCAGTTGGGAGAAGAGAGAGGCCCAAACACTCTGCGCATTGGTGGCTATAGGCTTGAGTCTGCTTTGTATCAAACTGAAAAGGAGAAAAGAAGCCATGGCCAAAATCCCAAGTTGATGGTGTGGCAGGTCCCTGTGGGGGAGGGGTCAGTCCTCTGGGACCAGACTGAGAGCCACCTAGCTGGGCCCCAGCCCTCTCCAGCAGCCCCAATCCACGCCTCAGGGTGCTGGAGGAGGGTCCTGGAGTCAGCCCCTAACCTCAGTTCGGGTGCCCAGTACCCATGAAGCTGTCCCAGAATCTTTGAGATTAGCTGAGATGGACTGGGACAGGGTCCTGTAGGACAGGGAGGGAAAGGGGTGTCTGATGAGCCAGCAGTAGGTGGGATTTCCTTTCCTCTCAAGACTGGGCCCTGGCATAGGGAAGGAGAATCTGTTTTAAATGACACATCTCAGAGCCAAATCCCCCAGCCCCCATCACCTCATCCAGATACGCATCCATTCCAAAACCAAATCTGGTCACTTCATTCTCTGCTTGAAATCCCTGGTGCCTCCTCACATCCCCAGAATGAAGTTCTGGCTCCTTTGTGGGCCCTGAAGTGGCCTTGATCTACCTTCCCAGCCTTGTCTTCTGCCCTCCTCGCCATGGCAGCCCCAACCGTGCCACATTCCTTCTCATCTCCATGTGTCTGCACATGCTGTACCCTCTCCGCCCAGAGTGCCTTTCCTACCCCTTCCCTGCCTGGCAAACTGCTCTTCAACCCTCAGGACCTGGCTCAGAGGACTGGCTCCTGAAGCTGTACGGAGCTCCCGCAGACAAGGTACTGTCACACCTGGGATACCTCTCATTGGGCTGGCCTCCAGAGCACAGAAACTGGTCCTTTCAGAATCCAAGCCAGTGTCTGGCACACAGTTGGTATTCAGTACATACTTACTGAATGAACGAGGGAAGGATGGGCTGTGAATTAGGGGGGAACCCAGCAGATGGGAGGATAAGGTTTGTGTGCCCTCCCAGAGTGTGTCTGGAAGGACTGGCTGGGGCTGGGGGGGAGGGGATGGCCAGGGATGGTTCCTGGGGGAGAATGTCACCGAAAAGAGGCCAGTGGGACCAGAGCCAGGGAGGGAATACAGGACAATGTGAAACCAGACTCCCAAGAAAACAGACCAGTACTGTCTTTCTTGACAACAAGAGCTCTGGCCAGCCCCTCCACTGGCTTTCCCCCTCGGGGGGGGGGGGCGGGCGGGGGGCAGTGACCCTAACTCACGGCTGATGTTCCCTCCAAAATCATCAAGGAGCTCAGGATGGAAAGAAGGTGAGAGCCCCTGCCCTCACCTCCAAGGGACCCCAGAATCAAACCATTGTCTCCTTGAGTAATTTCACTGCACAGAAGGGTCAGCTTCTGTGCTGTGGAGGCTTTTGATACTCTCCCTACCCCGACAACTCCCAGGACACCAGCAGATTCCAAGCTGGGGGATGGAGATGGTGTGCAAGGGGCCTGGACCACTTCAGCAGGACCCCTCCCACACAAGCAGGTGGCCCCAGCTGGGCTGAGGAATGAATTGCACATCAGTCCACTTAAAAACCCCTAATGGCCTTAGGATTGTCTGGCTCATTAACTGAGATGAATATTCCCAAGACCTCTCACTCCCCCACCTCTGGCTCCTAAAAGGACACTGCTAATCTGACCCAAGGCTTTTTCCTCTGCTCCAACTATGGGCATAGATAAGAAAGTTCTTCCTGAAGTCTAACTTTCCCTCCTGCTGCTAGAGATTGATAGATTGGGTTTTTAGAAAGCAACAAAACTAAAGCCACAGCTGTTTTCCATGGACATGGGCTTTATTTGGGGACAGTTGCAGGAAGGGATTGAGGGAGCTAGGACTGTGGGTAGAAGGGGGAAGGACTCAACTTGCTTTTTAATTTAGTGCATGTTGCCTGGAGGTTAGGATGAGTGAGAACAGCTGTGGAAGGGAAAGGAGAGGAAAAGGGAAGGTCACAGAATGGACACTTTCCTTAGGGAAGGAAGCCAGGGCCAGGATATGGGTACTGGGGGTGGGGAGGGAAGGCACCCTTCATATACTAAGACTCAAACCAAAGTCACTACTTGATGCCAGCTTCCTCCACCCCTGCCCCCCAGCTCCCAGCCCAGCTCCCTGTCCTGCTTCCTCAGCTTCCTGTGGAGAGGAGGGGGATGAGGATGTGGGGATGGTGGCCCCTTCTGCCTTCAGCTCTCCTGACCAGGAGAATCCCTCACTCGGCCTGTCCTGAAGTCCCTGCCAGAGTCAGGAGGTCAGGAACCAGGTGCAGAGGGGAACAATTGAGCCCTTTGCCACTGCTCCTTACACTCGGCCCCGCCCCAGCCCCTCACATGAGATTGCAGCTCTTCGCTCTATCCTTGTGTATCTCGCTCTCGGTCCCGGTCCCCCGGTCCGGCCGGCCTGCCAGCTGAGCGGATCTCTGCAGTCCACGGCGTGAGTCAGTACGACGAAGCTGCCTATGGCCACGGCCAAGGGAGGCCACTGTGGCCACGTGGAAGACGTCCCTGACGCTGCGCTCAGAGGACCGGGAAGAGCACTCCACATAGGACACAGCCCCTACCTGCTTGGCCAACACGGTGCCCTGGAAGGATGGAGTGCATGGAGGAAGTTATGGGGCTTAGCCTGCAGCTCAGCAAGGGGCAAGGGAGGCTGAGGGCAGTGAGGGGTGGCATGGCGGGGGGGGGGGGGGCGGGAGGTCAAGGGATCAGGTCATAGGTCAGAAGCCAGTACAAGGGATGAGCCAAGCAGGGTGTTTTCAAATCAGAGATAGAGAGGGGCAGAGGTGAGAGGTCTAGGCTGGGACTAGGTCAGAGGTCAAGTGTCCCACCTGTTCATGTGTAACGGGGATAAGCCTCTGCTTGGACAGCTCCCTCAGTGTGGCCAGGTCCGTGCGCATGTCCAGTTTACAGCCAACCAGCACAACCTTGGCATTGGGACAAAACTCCTGAGTCTCCCCTTGCCACTATTTGGGGGAAGAAAACAGTTATGGAAGGGTAGGTAGAGGCACACGGTGAAACCTGCTCCATGCCAGGAGAACACCCTTCCTCACATCATGCAGAAACCATGCACCCCTCCATCTGGACACCCCCCGCGTGAGCAAGGAGGTAGGGATGGTGGCCTTTGGCTGAAAGTAGGATGCGGTGTAGGAGAAGGGGAGGGAGGAAAGGGCTGGGGAGGGGCTCTAGGGTCAGGGGCCCTGCTTCTACCTCAGTGGCCATGAAGGGTCTAGCAGTCTGAAACCTTCCCATCCCCGCCCCCTGTCCCAAATTTGTTCCTGGGAACAGACCAATCTGCCCTTCCTCCACCTGGAAACTAGGGCTGCTTTAGCTGACTTCTGTCCATTCAACGTGGGCTTTTCTCCTGGAAATAGAGGCCTCAAGAGGAGACCACAGGGCTCTTCTGAGCTCCCGGAGCAGCATTCCCATCCCCTCCAGCTGGGGCTCCCACACCCAAGGAGATGGGAAGGATGGATAAGGAATCCCTTGAGTACTTCTCCTTGTTCTCCTCTATCTCCCCCTAGATGCTGGATCCAGCTCTGAGGACTGACTTCCAGGAAGAAAGGGTGGGGGGTGAGCAGTGGATGGGTGAGGAGGATGGGGAAAGAGGAGAGCTTCACACACTCTCTAGTTGATGACCATGCCCCAGGCATCACTCCCTCCTCCAGGCCATGTTGTGTCAGAACCTTGGTTTCTGGTCCCCCTCAGTGTAGCCATCCTGCTTCCCCAAGCTCCCACCTTCTTGAGGACACTGTCCAATGTTTCTGGTCGGCTAATGTCGAAGCAGATGAGCACAGCATCTGAATCAGGATAGGCCAGAGGCCGGACGTTATCATAGTAAGAAGAACCTGAGAGAAGACAGGGAGGGAGGGGACAGACAGGGTCCTGTGTGGGTGGGAGGCCTGGAAGGGAATGGGAGACCTTACCAATCCTGACCAGGGGACGCTAGGGGCAGAGGATGGAAGAGAGCAGGTATTGGAACCCATCAAGGAGTCTGGGTTTCTTCAAGGAGGGGCGTTGGCAGAGGGAGGTTAGATGGCAGAGAACAGCTCTCCACTTCCCTAGGGGTTTCTTTAAAAGTAATCATTCTTAATCTTTTCTGAGTCTTTGAGAAGCTCATGAAATCTCTCCACATTCTCAAAATTTTGCATGTGCTTTCTGAGCTTTGACTGACGTCTTCTACAGCCCTCCCCGG